CAATCACATGGCCGGGGATAGCTGGCTTCTGCATTGCCAGCAGGGGGGCTGCCTGTAATTACAGGTGGTCCCCCTGCTGGCTGAAAATAAAAATGAAATAAGTTAATCAGTGTAAAAAAAAAAGTTATATATACTTAGATCATATATATATATATTATATATATATGATCTAAGTATATATATACACATATACATACACACATGTAACCCGTCTAGGTGTATTTTACTATTAATATATATATAATTATATATATATATTAATATCAAATTACACGTAGACTGATACTGATTAAATATATATATAATTATTGTTATATATATATTTATATATATTATAAAAAAAATAAAATGTAAATACGTTAAAAAATTAAATTAAAAAAATAATTAAAAATAAATAATTAAAAAATATATAGATATAGATGTGTGTTATTTCGTTCTAACTGTATTGTGAAATTAATATATATATATATATATATATATCAAAATACACGTAGAACGAAATAATATATATATCTATATACATAAATATATACGTATATATCACTATATATATACCTATATATAAATAAAAATATTTTTTTAAATTATATAGATATATACATATATATACACATACGTATATATATACATATATTAATTCTACATATATATTTATGTATTATTTTTACATAATTAGGTATCTTAATTAATTACAATTAGCAGGACCTGCCTGACAACCCATGCCGAAAGTAAAGGGAATTTAATTTGCTAGCACTATATTTAACCCTATAACTTTCCAAGACACCATAAAACCTGTACATGGGGGGTACTGTTCTACTCGGGAGACTTCGCTGAACACAAATATTAGTGTTTCAAAACAGTAAAATGTATTACAACGATGATATCGCCAGTAAAAGTGACGTTTTTGCATTTTTCACGCACAAACAGCATTACACGGACAATATTATTGCTGTGATACTTTTTACTGTTTTGAAACACAAATATTTGTGTTCAGCGAAGTCTCCCGAGTACAACAGTACCCCTCATGTACAGGTTTTATGGTGTTTTCAAAACTTACAGCGTCAAATATAAGGCTTGCGTTTCATTTTTTTCACATTAAAATTCGCCAGATTGGTTACATTGCCTTTGAGACCCTATGGTAGCCCAAGAATGAAAATGACCCCTATGATGGCATACCATTTGCAATAGTAGACAACCCAAGGTATTGCAAACAGGGTATGTCCAGCCTTTTTTAGTAGCCACTTAGTCACAAACACTGGCCAAAATTGGCGTTTTTTTGCATTTTTCACACACAAACAAATACTAACGCTAACTTTGGCCGGTGTTTGTGACCAAATGGCTACTAAAAAAGACTGGACATACCCCATTTGCAATACCTTGGGTTGTCTACTATTGCAAATGGTATGCCATTATGGGTGTAAATTTCATTCCCGGGCTACTATACAGTCTCAAAGGCAACGTAACCAATCTGGCGAATTTCAATTTCAAATGTAACGTGCTATATTTGACCCTGTAACTTCCCAAAACGCCATAAAACCTGTACATAGGGGGTACTGTCTTACACGTGAGACTTTACTGAATACAAATATGTGTATTTTATTGCAGTAAAAGCAAACTGTATTATGACACTGACCGTTAAAATGTCATGTAGAACTAAAAAAATCAAAAAAAATCGTATTTTCTCCCATTTTTTCATATTAAATTATGTTTCATAGCTAAATATTTGATATTAAATGAAAGCCCTGTTTCCCCTGAATAAAATGATATATAATAAGGGTGGGTGCATTTACTATGAAAGAGGTGTATTACGGTTGGACAGACATGTAGCGCAAATGCCAGGTTTTGTTTATATTTTGTTTTGTTAACAACGTGTACATTTGGCTCCGTCCTTAGGGGGTTAAAATGAAGACTGCTGCCCATGTTTCACTAATCACAGTCACTGATTACAGTCACTGGTCAGTGATTACAATGGAAATGCGGTCAGGGTATACAGAACATAAGAATGAGCATTCTAATTGAGCCCACCTTAAAAAACCTCACATTATAAACAATATAAAAGCCCATATTGAACATGCAATATTACTAAGTTCTTAATAGGTTGATCTATGAGACTCAAAATCAAACCTTGAGTTTGCAATTGTGGAAATAGTGAGACTTATTTTATTTTTATGCTTTAAGTCATCTACTAACACTAGATGTCAGTAGTTACCCTGTTTTAAGTATTGTGGGAATACACTGTGCTCATTAGAATGCAGATCATCAAACCATATTTATAACTAGAATATATGGTTAATATTATGTAAATCATAATTAAAAGGTTTCTCTTTGAACCTCCTTGTAGCACGATATGACAAATGTGTGGTAGTTACGTGCTGTATATTGAGGTTTAGTTGGTTGCATTGACATACAGTAACCTTGCTACTGGTAATAGTGTTTTGGTTTTTGATGGACCAAGAATATGCTTCATTGACATATTTTATATTATGGTGTTATATAATTTGAAACTATTTGCTTTAAACAGTTGCTCATTGCCAACAGAGACATATATTAGATATAGTACTTCTTAAGTGTTAGCTCATCTTAGCACTTGCTGATGGAATAGCTGATTATCAAAGCTGCATGGTTGTCCAGGGTCCTATGCAGGTTGTCAGATTAGGCTCTTTTTTATATATAGTATTGCACCCATACTTGTGTTTTTAGATCCTATTGAGCTCCCTGTCAGCTCAAAGAGAATGCTCTTACATCCAGAGCCACAGATCCAGGGCAAGACTGTTGCCCACCAGGCCCTTGTCTGAGGGTAATCTGTATTTACTGAGTATAAGAGTCTAGATCATCACTGTAGATGGATATACATTATAGGATCTCCCCATACCCCTTAAAGGAATTCCAAAGAGTGATCTTTTTTCTTTTTCATTTTGTTATAGTTAGCGCTGGGAAGCACACGGGTATTAGCTTTTCTGTTTATCGTTCTTGATTTTTTTGGGAGGGAGTTGTGCCAGACTTGTCATTGGTGAATGTATGCATGTATGTATGTATGTATGTATGTGTGTGTGTATATATATATATATATATATACATATATATATATATATATATATATATATATACACACACACATACATAATCCAGTGCACTCGCTTATTCACTAAACAATGATTTCAAATCTTACCGATTGTAATAGTTTGTTTTTTTTAACTCACCTAGGCAAAAAATAATGGAGGTTTAGTTACACTATATGATCATATATTGCATAAGCCAGCCACAACGTCAATTTACCCCATTCTTGACAGGTCCTATGCTATAAGCCTAATGCTTGCTCTTATGATATTAAATACTTCCTCCTGAGACTCTCTGCAGGTCAAGGCTAAATAAGGTCCTGGAATTAGGCACCTGTGACAGGGAGGGCTGCAAATCCAAGGAGTTGGCCTGGACTCCCAAATACCCTTGGGTGTCTACTTTTCAAAAATATATGGTTTGATGGGGGTAAATTACATTGGCTGGCTTCAAAAATGTTCCAAATAGGACATGGGTGCATGATAACCAGCTGTGAAAATTCCAAGTTGGAAAACTGGAATGCGCACCCTCCCAATAAGTTATTTTAGCCACCAGAGAACCCGACACACCTATACATGGGTGGTATCACTGTTTCATGGGAGATGTTGTTGAACACATATTTGGGTGTACTTTGGCAGTAACCTTTACAGTTCTCAGTACATGCATTCTTAAATTGCTGTGTGTGTCAAAAAGAATCACCATTTTTTTATTTTTTATTTTTTTATTTGACATAGATTGGTGGTAAATTGGTTGCATGAAAAGAGTCAAAATACCCCAAGTTTAATACGTTAGGTTGTCTTCTTTTAAAAAAAATATATACATGTAAATGGTTATTCAGGGATTCTTGACAGAAATCAGTGTTACAATGTAACTTGCTTTGATTTTGGAAAACAAAATGGTTTGGAAATAGCAAAGTGCTACTTGTACATATTGTCCTATAACTTGCAAAAAAAGCTAAGAACATGTTAACATTGTGTATTTCTAAAATCAGGACAAAATTTAGAAACTATTTAGCATGGGTGCTTTTTGGCGGTTGTAAATGTGCAACAGATTTGGGGGTCAAAGTTCAAAAAGTGTGTTTTTAAATTTTTTCATCATATTTTATCTTTTTTTTATAGTAAATTATATATGATGATGAAAATAATGATATCTTTAGAAAGACAATTTAATGGCGAGAAAAGCTGTATATAATATGTGTGGGTACAGTAAATTAGTAAGAGGAAAATTACAACTAAACACAAACACAGCAGAAATGTAAAAACAGCCCTGGTCCCAAATGGTAAGAAAATTGAAAAGCGGTCTGGTCTCTAAGGGGTTAAGGAAATTATTTGGAATCCCAAAGAGTGCTCGCTTTTCTTTTTCATTTTGTTATTGTTAGCGGTGGGAAGCACATGGGTATTAGCTTTTTTTTGTTTCTCGGTCTTGATTTTTTGGGGGTGAGTGTGTGGTATCTTGTAATTACTTATCTTAAGATGAATTCCATCCAAGAGTTACAGGACATGCATGAAAGCCTATATCCAGCATACCCAGACACACTGACACATGTACATATACATATACACAAGTAGTGTATACGTATACACAAGCACATAAACAATATACATAAGTACATACAAAAACATACATATAAATACAACCAATTTTAGGTTTGGTGGTTGTCTGAAGGCCAAAATATGTGTTTCAGAGAAAATGTTTTTCAGAGTTTCATCTTCTGTTAACATTGGTTGTAAGTCTTTAATGATTTTCCGTATTTCCTCAAGAGCTGGGGTGTAGGTGACAATAAGTGGCACTCATGTAGATATTTTTTCTCCCTGTACTGTAGCAGCCGAGTGCGTGGAGTTTTGGACTGCAGAGTTGATTTGTTTTGGTTTGTAGCCTTTCTGTCTCATAGATTGGGAGAGTACATTCAGGTGGGAATTACGGTCATTAGGATTGGAGCATATGCGATGGTACCTAGTGGCTTGGCTGTAGATGATGCTCTGTTTAGTATGGGAGGGATGGAAGCTGGAGCTGTGAAGGTAACTGCATCTTTCTGTGGGTTTTCTGTAAACCGAGGAGTAGATTGTGCCATTGTTATATGTCACAGTGGTGTCCATAAAATTCACAGATCTAGTAGAATATTCCATTTTTAATTTGATTGATTTTTAGTTTAGTTTGGCAACCACCAAATGTCCAAGAAAAATGAATCAGCAGGAAGCTGCCCACTAATGGGAAGAATAAAGAAAATGGGAACAGTCAAAAACCTCGCTGCAAACTGAGCCAGCACATATGCACAGACAACACAGCCACACACAACAATAAAACCTACAACATTAACTCCTTCCCGACCGCTGATGGTTCAGGACCGTCATCAGAAAAATCCCCTTGAGGACCGGTGACGGCTCAGGAAGTCTCCCCACGGTGAATTAGGACCCCGCGGCCATGTGATCGCTCAACAGAACGGTCACATGGTCACAATAGGTGTCCAAGTGTCTTCCTGCAGGGGGACTGCCTATGCTGACAGGCAGTCTCCCTGCAAATGTAAAAAAAAAAATAAAATAAAAAAGTTAATCAATTAAATTATATGTGTGTGTGCGTATGTATGTGTATATATATATATATATATATATATATATATGTGTGTGTGTGTATATGACATATAGACATATATTAGATTTATATAATATATGTCTATATATATTAAATATATAATGTCATACTAAGTGTATTTTTATATTAATATATACGTATATTAATATAAAAATACACTTATAATTAAATTACACACGTGTGTGTGTGTATATATATATATATATATATAACGATACATATTGTGTATATATATATATATTATTATAAAATACAAATAAGAAGTAAATTAAAATAAATAAAAAAACTTAAAAATAATTAAAAACTTATTTAAAAAAATTATATATATGAAATGTTATTCTAACTGTATTTTGATATTAATATATATATATATATATATATATATATATATATATATATATTTATATCAAAATGCACTTAGAATGAAATTATATATATATATATAAATAAATAAAAATATTACAAAATATATATATATATATATATATATCCATATACAAAATTACATGAAAATTTTCATAAATATACACGTAGACTTCAAATATATAAACATGCACATATATTTAAATTCTATGTGCGTATTTATGTAATATTTTTACATAATTAATTTTATTGATTGCAATTTGAGGGACCTGCCTGACAACCAGTGGCATAAACACGATCCATGGGGCCCCAGGTGCAAAAATTGCATAATACACATACACGTAAAGGACCACTATAGGCACTCAGATCATTTCAGCTCAATGAAGTGGTCTGGGTACCAGGTCCCTCTAGCTTTAACCATGCAGCTGAGAAACTGCTATGTTTCACTGAGGGTTAATCCAGCCTCTAGTAGCTGTCTCACTGACAGCCGCTAGAGGCACTTCCGCGACACTGGACGTCCATAGGAAAGCATTGAGTAATGCTTTCCTATGGGCGGTTTGAATGCGGCTCGGCGCATTCGGAGCTGAGAGGCGGAGGAGATCCCCAGCACCAAGGGAGCCTGGCGCTGGAGAAAGGTAAGTGCTGAAGAGGTTTTAACCAAACACACACTCTCACGAGCAGACGTATACACACTAGCTAACAGACACAAACATTTATTGACAGACACACACTCAGAGACAGACACACATACACTCTCACTGACAAACACACACTCACTAACAGACACACACAAACTAACAAATCGGTCAGTAAGTGAGGAGTTAAGGGATTCTCTGCTCTGGTGCATTTTTCTATGTTCTGGGAAACTGCTTCCCCAAACATAGATTTGAGGGATTCCCTGCTCTCGTGCGTTCGTCTTTGTTCGGGGAAGATTTCCCGAACATAGACATACGCATCAGAGCAGGGAATCCCCATGACGGCTCGCACTATTGCCTGGTCGTAAGTGCGAGCCGCGGTAAAACAGGTAGGTCGCTAAATGAGGACCACCTGTATATGTATAATATATTTATTTTATTATTTTTTTAGCAGTCTGGGGGACTGCCTGACAGCTCAGACAGTCCCTCTGCTGGCAGCTCCTAGAATCCTATTGCGGTGATGTGATCACATGGCCATGGAGGGCAGGGGTGGCCGGAACTGCTGTAGTGGGACTGCTGGGGTCTCTGGCAGTCCACCCCGACCGTTACCACCGCAGATCGTCGGTCCAGGGCTCCTATTTGTCACAGACGTCCTTAAGGAAATTTTATATATATATATTATTATTATTTTTTTATTCTAAGTGTATTTTGATATAAATAAATATTTATATCGAAATACAGTGAGAATAAAATGACATATTTACATACATAATTTTTTTAAAATTATTTTTACAGTGTATTTTTAATTATTTGTCATAAATATATATACATAATATATAAAGTTATATATATGGTATACACATCTATATATACACGTCAGTTCAGGCAGTCCTGCTGCTGGCAGCACAATGGGGGCCATGTGACCGCTCTTTTAGAATTGGAGAGGGGGGACTCTCTGGGCTCAGTCCAAAGAGTCCCCCCAAAGAAGAAGACCGATCGCCGGTGGGGGAATGCGGCGATCAGTAAGTACATGGGGAAGGGGGGAGGGAGGGTATGGGTTAATTTTTTATTACTTTTTTTAAAATTTCTTTATTTTTTTTAACTAATACTGAGTTCCTCGACCCCTCAAGGCACTCAGTAAAGGTAAGAGCATCTGAAGTCTGCAGATGTCTTCAGATGCTCTTCCCTACACTGCCGGGCGCCACGTGCAGCAAACCCGGAAGTGATCGCTCCGGGGAGGGAGGGGGCAATCACTCGGGTCCCCGGCAGTGTAGGTGGGTATTACACAATGCCTCTATATGGAGGCATCGTGTAACACCATCAGAGCGGCTGGAAGTGATCACGATCGCTTCCAGCGCTCAAAATACCAGGTATGTCCGAGGTCCTAAAGGGCCTATCAATATACAAAGTTACTGTTTGTATAGACCTATTCTTTCTCATACTCTTATGTGCTGTTTCTAACTGGATGGCTGCCCACTTCCTTAAACTAAACTTGACCAAAACTGAAATTCTGGTCTTTCCTCCCTCAAGTATTGTTACTCCATTGTCTGTCTCCTTCCAAGTCAATGGTGCTACCATCAGTTCCACCATGCAGGCTCACTGCCTAGGTGTTCTCTTTGACTCCTACCTCTCCTTCAGGCCTCATGTTCAATCTATCGCCAAATCCTGTCATTTCCATCTCAAAAACATTGCGCGCATCCGCCTCTACTTAACGCCAGATGCGACTAAGGTGTTGGTCCATTCCACTGTCCTTTCTCGCCTTGACTACTGTAATCCGCTTCTCAGTAGTCTTACGTGCTCCCAACTTGCGCCGTTACAGTCCATAATGAATGCAGCGGCAAGGCTCATCTTCCTGTCTGCCCGCACCTCCCATGGCCACCCTTCTGTCAGTCCCTACATTGGCTTCCTTTAAATATAAAGCTCAATTTAAAATTCTGGTTCTTGCTTTCAAATCTCTACATAATGCTGCTCCCACCTATCTATCCTCCCTTATACACAAGTATGCACATCTAGGCCCTTACGATCTGCTGAAGACTTACGTCTATCTTCTGTCCGTACTCCCACCTCTGATGCTCGCCTTCAAGATTTCCAGAGGGCTGCACCGTTCCTGTGGAACTCGCTTCCCTCCTCCGTTAGATGTTCACCCAGTCTCCACTCCTTCAAAATATCGTTAAAAACCCACTTCTTCATAAAAGCGTATCAATTAAACTGTTAATAGCTCCTGACTGATTCCTCTTCTGCAACTGTCACTAGTATAATACTATCCTTACCTTTTTGTGTCATTTTACCCCACCCCCTCTAGCATGTAAGCTCATTGAGCAGGGCCCTCAACCCCTCTGTTCCTGTGTGTCCCACTTGTCTGGTTACAACTACATATCTGTTCGTCCACCCATTGTAAAGCGCTGCGGAATTTGACGGCGCTCTATAAATATCATAATAATAATAATAATAATAATTTATATTTGTGTATATGAGTTCATGGGTATGTATATGTGTTCATGTGTATATATATATATATATATATGTATGCGTATACATATATGTATATTTGTGTGTGTTTATGTTTAAAGTGTGTACATATATGCATACATGTGTGTGTATATGTGAATAGGTGTATGTGTACATATATATGGGTCTATGTATGTGTAAGCACATTTGTACATGTGTAGGTATATGTATTGGTGCTTATGTGGATGTATGTATAGGTGTGCATGTACATATATTTGTGAAATCGGTTGTATATATATGTATATTTTTGTATATACTTATGTATATTGTGTATGTGCTTGTGTATACGTGTATATATGCACTACTTGTGTATATGTATATGTACGTGTGTGTGTGTGTTTGTGCTGGATATAGGCCTTCATCATATCCTGTAACTCTTGGATGGAAATAAGTAATTATTTTGTTTTTACTCTCCCCTTCTATCACCATCTTCTGCACTATTTGCTTGTTTTTTTCTCTCTCTATCCCCCCTCACTCTGTGATCTTCACACAAGATATTTACAACCCTTTGCTAGAATGGTGTCTATTTTCTATGAAACCTGTGTCGTGCACACGTCGCTTTAACCCCTGTATCACAACTCAACTTTGAATTCTGCTCCGAAATGCTTTAGACTTGAGAAAAGGAGGTTCTCCCGAAAGCTTGTCATTAAAAAATGTTTATATCTACATCACTGGACTAATACGGCTACAATCTCTACTTAAACACTATATATATATTTTGGAAGGCGTAGCCTTAAGTTGTGGGAGGGGTTACTCGGCTATTTAAACTCAGGCCCCCTACACCACAGGGCTGATGCTGCCTGGTTCAATCAAATGAATCTTGTACCCACCATCGTAAGGTCAGGATTCTAACTGCTATGTCCACAGGTTACCTATTCATAGACCAGCCTCAAGAACAACCACCCCGATTATACAGGCATATTTCATTCACAGTAAGTCAAGCCCAATTATAGTTCCAACTTGCCTCCCACCATTTCCCTTTAGGTTCTCCAAAATCGCATTCCTCTGGCAAGGAAACCACATTCTACCCCAAGCAAGGTATGTTTACCCACCTTGCTACTACCCATCACCCGTCCCATTCTTGGATCCGGTATTTCAACTGGCGGCCTAGTTCCCAGCTCTTATATTGACTCTTTTTACAGTCCCCGAGAGGCCAACGTTTTTGCCACACCTTTCAGTGGCCCCTGCCCACTAGGCCAAATCACATGAAGTCAAACAGTTGATATCCACTCTACTTGCCACTCTACTTAATAGACCCCGCAACACAATCACGTTGCTTAAGAAGGTATTTGACAACCATATTAATTACCCACCCCTAGCCTCAACTCATTGATTTCCTCTAAGGGATTCTCCCAGCACTATGTCTCCAAGCTTCTACCTATTCAGCCATCCCGAGGGCATGTTCATGGCATTTTACACTCAATATTAGCGAATGTCCTGCAGTCACCCGATATCTTAGATAACTTCCTCGCGATAGAACGCCCTCAATCCGCTCTGGTTAGTATTCACAAGACAATGGCACTTTTCATCACTAGGGGTTCCACTTTCACAAACTGACCTTCTTAGGCATTCATCTTGACACTAATATGCTACAGAACATGTCCACCTACAGAGAAGGAACAGCGCATCGGAGTCTGGGGAACCTTTTCTTCTGAAGAACACGTGGGGGGATGGATCTACAGTCCTACTGGGTATATTGAAGTTCACCATGAGAATTATTCTGCACATTTATTTCCTGACCTCTGAGTCTTCTTCCCACCAACAGTTGCATTCTGGCACTAGTTGTAAGCAGACCTACACATATGGCTCAGGTTCATACCACACTGGAATAGGAGGCCAGGTTATTCCTGACATTTCTCATCATTTCCCAATTACATGGACCAATGCATCTGCACACACTGATTTCACAGTCAATTTGGTGACTTTTGGTTCTGAGATGCCTGGCCAGTTGAGACTCTTGGGGAAAAAAAAAATCTTTCCATTCCTCGTCAACATTTCTTTGGAATCTACCCCATAGTGGCCGCCTACAAGGCCTATGGAGGTATGAGTGGATAGGGGAACCTGTCAAGTGTTTCTCTAACAATAAAGCAGCTGGCTATACCCACATTCCATGGCTTAATCCTGCACTAACTCGTCTCATGGCATTTGGCAAATTTCTGGATTGAGCTGCCCTCTCTGATTATACATCACGAGCATACAATAGAGATTTCACCTTTACAACAAGTTTACCACCGATTACCATAATACCGATATTCGTTCACTAGTCGCCCTTGCGACACTCCTCTCCTTTTTGCCCACACAATTTAAAAATCTCTCTTAACACTACAAAACTTACCTGGCTGGAATACAACACCATATCTTAAGTGCCTATCCTAGTACCAAACAGTTCACATCCTCTTACCATTTGTAATACGTAGGGACATAAGGACTATCCTACAGACAATAAGGTGCCGGTCAAAATGTCAGACCTTTACAGGTTATTACTCACTGGACCAAATCTCAATATGCCCCTATTTAACTGCAGGGCAAACCACTCACTACAGCTAAATTCATAATGTACCTCAGAACCCTCTTAACTAGGCGGGGACTCAACCCCAATGCCTTTTCGGGACATTCCTCCAGAATCAGGGCAGCATCAGCTGCTTCCAGAAAAATGTCCCTGCTCACACCATAAACATTAGGACGCTGGAAATCCACAGTATATTACTAGATACATACCACAACCAGAGCTAGAGTTTAGTAGGGCAAGCCTTTACGAATCTTGCAATGTAAAGATGTGTAATAAGGTATCTTATTCAACTTTTTGCCCTCTTTTATTACAGGCCTACCCGATACGTCGGTTTCGGCACACCAGAACCGACTTGCTCATATATCTAACTTATCATGTATACAGCTTTTGTCCCCGACTACAAATATATATATATATATATATATATATATATATACTTTTAATTCTTAACATTTAACCTATTTTATACAGTTTAAATAGTATACTAGCAGTCCTACAGCAGGTAGATCATCACGGCAAAGGTGACAATCAATGATTTATTATATCTTATACACATGCATAGGCAAAGCCATGGCTGAGGAGAATGTTGTCGTGGTTATGTTAAATAGAGTGCCATTTTAAGGTCTTGGAACTAATCTGGCATGAAATGCATTACCCCTATTAAATAAATGATAAACAGTCATTATAACATCTTGAAACCAGTTAAAAATATTCTTTGATGTTATTTTGCCAATAAACAAACAAACAAATAATGAAAAAGTCAAGAAAACCTTTGCACAAAAAACATACATTACAAATGAATTAAAGAGTTTAAGCACTGGTTTAACTGGCACAATGTGTGGGACCACTAAAGTCAGGAGAAGAATTGGTGAAATTGCTCCTAAAATTAAATGTTTAAGGTGGATAATTCTTTGTAAATGGAACATTTATAAAATAAGATAACATATGCCAAAGGTCTCTGTCAAAATTATACTGTCCTAAAACTGATAATGATTCTTGTGTCTGTGTAGCGGCAGGCAGAATTTTTAAAAAAACATTTAATTCTCAGTTTGCTGATATAAACCTTATCACAAACAGTGCAGCTTTATTTTTATTTTTTTTATGATTCTTTCAGTTTACAGACTCATTTCTGTTCAAAGGTAAAATACATCAAAGATATCGCTCTGCCTCAGGACAAGGTTATAGTAACATTTTCTGCAATGCTTTGTTAAGTTAGCTGCATTTTCTGTATGGGAAGAAAAATAGATTCATTAAGATGACCTTTTGAGATACATTAAACCATGTACCACTCATTATTAATCCCTGAATTAATAATGCTTGTTTTTTTAATTTTGCATTGCATATTTTAATAAAGTGAGGGGTGTTTGAATTTAGCTCTAATCATGATTAGGTAGGTTTATGGAAATTAATACTATTAAAAGCTATAGGACATATATTTTAAATATTTAAAGCATCAGCGGTGAATACCCAACACATATTCCATTAGATTTCTCCATCTCCAGAAAAGATACCTTAGAGTTTTAGTTTGTAACTAATTTATTATGCATTGTACAATGCATTAGGAATTCATGGCCTAATGCAGTGATGCCCAAAATGTAGATCCTCAGATGTTGGAAAACTTAAACTCCCATGATGCTTTGCATGTCTTTAGAATTCTTTAGAATGACAAAGCATTATGGAAGCTGTAGTTCTACGACATCTGGGGATCTACCTTTTGGGCACCCCTGGCCTAATATATAAAATGTAAATTTGCACATGCACAAACAGGAAACAAGTGGACACAAACAATGGGCTTAATGTAATATGATAATGTATTATTCTTTGTTACAATGACAAGAAGAGAAAACTGTCATTGTGTGCATTGTTGTTGCTATATGTCAGCCATATCAGCATATGTGCATGCGAGAATTACTGTGTGCATGCAATGTCAACATGTGTATCCAACATACAACCTATTTAAGAATAGGTGCTGGATTCCAGCACACGTACTCAACCAGGACTTGTAAACAAAAACAAAAAACATACAAAAACATAAAGATAGAATCTGCACTAAGAAAGTAGATTTACCAGACCTTATTGGAAATTAAGTATACTCTATTCCAGCATACCCTGTGGATACCTTTGCCTATACTTCATCCTCAAGGGGGCAAGGTGAATTTTGAATACTAATATCAGTGAACCCACAGTGTTGACACTGGAGAGAAATTTAAAAAGTTTGGAGTTTCATTCTGATACCGAAACAGATTTATTTTCATCTCAGGAGGATTCCTAGAGGCTTGAGTGTCAGACCTTGTAGGGATAACAAAAGATTTGCAGATAGATGGTATAAGATCTTGTATAAATATTAATTTGACCTTATGAAGTGATACAGGATAAACTGGCAGAATCTATAGGAGCAACATATCAGTTTAAACCAGTTACTATTGGATACATCTAAGCTGCTCCTAAATGCCAATTAACTAAAAGTGAGCAGCAAAACAACTCATAAAAATTGTATCCCTCATGCAATTCACAATAATCAATTAAACATATTGAAGGTAAGCTCAAATAATAATACTTAGCTACAAATGTATTGTCAGAAACATCTTCTTCACAAAATGCATTATAACTGTCGGGGGTTCTGATGTCTCACCTGGGCCCACCAGCATATTGTGTGATGCTGCATTATGTGCGACCGAATTCAGATCTGAATGGCGAATTTGCTGGACAGAATTTGCATGCAAAATCAAATTCGCCGGACCAAATTCGGTACACTATTATGACAATACTAAGCAGGCTACCAAAGTTTTCACCACCCATGAATCATGTGGAATTCTAGAATGATGTGGGCCAATATAAATTAAAGGGACACTATAGTCACCTGAACAACTTCAGCTTAATGAGGTTGTTCAGGTGAGAACTATAGCTCCCTGCGGCCTTTCTCATGTAAACACTGTATTTTCTTGGAAAATACAGTGTTTACCTTGAAAGCTAGGAACACCTCCAGTTGCAGTCACTCAGAATGAACCAGAGGGACTTCTGAGTTGATGGAGGCATAATATGCCTCCATCCACTCAGATCTGCTATGCACGAGCATCCTGTGATTCAGTATCTCCTCCCTCTGCATGCAGACACTGAACTTTCCTCATATAGATTAATTGATTCAATTAATCTCTATGAGGAGATGCTGATTGGCCAGGGCTGTGTTTGAATCATGCTGGCTCTGCCCCTGCCTCCTTGTCAGTCTCAGCCAATCCTATGGGGAAGCACTGTGATTGGATCAGGCTATCACATGTCAGCAGACTGCTTGTTTTTCCTGAGTCTAACAACATGCAGATTTACAGCTTCTGGCTTGAATACAGTACGATTTTTACTATATTTATGGAGGCATGAGGGGCCCAGGGGGGCTAGATGGTCGTGTTAACACTATAGGGTCAGGAATACATATAGTTGCACTGGTGACTATAGTGTCCCTTTAAGTCCAGCCTATTTATATTCACCTCTCCCGCCCCATGTTGTCCTGTTGTGGTTCCAGTTAGCCCAATAGCATGTTCTTGTGTATCCTTATTCTGGTATATGATTATTGACTGTATACTTTTGGCATTGGCTAGCCCGTATTTCTTCTGTCCTTGATCTCGGCTATTCTCTCTGACTTTGGCCACCATTAGTCTGACCACTCTAAGGACTGGTACACGGAAAGTCTATTTGTTAATACTCTTTCCTGACAATAACATAAAAGAAAAACATATATACAAATAATGGTGTACCCTGCAAAATAGGTATAAAAGACGTATTGTGCAAAAGAACAAATATATGTGCAAGTGTTTCTGTATCAAGGAACTATATCCCAAAATGGTAGAAATGTAAACTTGCAAAATTGGAGCCCCAATCTGCTCCAGCACAGCATGTATGTGATATCCCCAAAAGATGAAGGGAAAGGCTCCAGCTGCCTGTTAAATGACAGCATCCCACCAATATGAGTACCCTGTATCGGCTCCCAAACATATAGAGAAAATATAAATGGCAACTTGCTGATTGCAATGATTCTGAAAAGTTTGCCTGGATCTTT